TACCTCTAAGCTAGCACAGGCTCTCTTTCTCTTTCACCTTCGAATCATTCTTTTCTAATACCTTCTATTACAATAGATGCTCTTTTTCCTCTTTAGGTCCTCTTCATTCTCTTCCCTAATTTCTTCAATTCTAGGGATATCACAGTCTATCTGCCTTCAAGTCTCTCCTTAAGCTTTGCTTCTTCTAGGTAATCTGTCCTGTGATAACAAGGGTGAGGGCACGTTGCAAACATTCTCAAATGTATAAGACATGAACTGACATTATATTACTAATGCTATCCTCATCACTGATAAGAAAATGGAATATTTGATTCTGAAAGACTGTGGTCCTTGTTTTCAGAAAGTATTAACAAAGACTCTCCCAGAATAATAACTGGTTTAGAGTTTGAATTGCTGTCAAATAAGACAAATAGTATCTCATCTTAATAATGCAGCCCTTTAAAAATCCCTAATATCAGACAAAGTAAAGGTATATTTAAAAAGACCTCATAATTGCTTGGGTACCTTACGGAAAAATAATAACAACTGACTTGAATTGAAGTCATATGCATGCCCTGTAGGCTGGTCTGTCTGTGATGTACCAGGGCAAGTATTATAACACATGTTTAATATAAAATGTGTTCCTGGGGTCAGTCTACTCTGTCAGTGTCTGGGTGTGACATTAAGTGTGACTTAGGACCTAGATCTTTAAACACAATAAGAGTTCGGTATGATATAAGTCACATCTATATCAGTCAAACAAAGGATTATAAGTTGTTACCTTTTTAAAAAGAAAAGATTAGATAAAATTGAGCAGTTTAGCTCTGGACAAATATATTATTTTTATTCTGACAATTTACATCCCATGCTATCACAGCTACTCTTATACCGTGCAAAGGCATGAGAAAGACCAGACATATTTAATAAACTAGTTTAAAAATAAAAAGTTATTTGCTGGTTCTTTAGGAAATGGAGACTATAATAAAATACACTTACTTTTTAATTCATTGAACCATTTTACCCCCTACACTTTTTGCATGTATATAACTAAACAACTAGATAAACATATTTGAAGAGAAAAACTTTTCTTCTAGTGATCAAGCACAACAACAAAAAAGTCCATGTAAAGTCAATATTTTAAGGAATTTAAGGTGGGATCTTTCAAATCTTGTCATTTGACATGAAACAATAAAATCTAAAGCCCATTTCAGAGATGTACTAAATTCCCAATCTGAACGTAATTGCTGTTCCTTCTCCCATGTGTATTTATCATCAGTACAACTAAGAAAGAATTGCAGCCAGGCCTGGACCACCGCCAAGCAATTGATTATTAGCCATTAAAAGGGAAATGTTTACTTATTCATGGCAAGTAGTTTTTAGAAGGAAAGGCAAAGAGGTCTGATTTTAAATGCTGCCTTTTCTTTCCATCCTAAGGCTGATGAAAATCATTCACTTCTTCTTGGAAATGTCAAAAGCCCATTTTTATTTTCCTTTTGCTATTTTAACCAGAATACTGATAAAAAGGGGAGAGCAGTTGCTATGAGGCAAAGAAAAATGTCCTGGCAGTTGAGGGCCCTCCATCTATCAAGGGGAATTTGCAATGTTGCCTCTTTTCAAGACTGTATAGATTTGCAGGATTTTGTGAAACACTTAACCAAAATGGAAGGATTTAAAAGCAGAATGCAAGATATAGATGCAATCATTTTTTTAAAAAAAAATCAAGATACTTTAGTTTTATTTCAGAATTTTCTAGTCTTAAATTCTCAAGCACGCAATAGTGATGACCATCTTAGCTAATACTTTTGAAAGGGTGATTAGTGCAGACTGCTTAAGTATACTCACTATAGCACAGATGCTTTAAGATTAAAAACTCTTACTGGGATTGAGATGTACTACATCCAATTACAGGGAAACAAATACTTATCTAATTAAACAATAATATTCACAAGCTATGTTGAGTTTCAAAATAAGTTCAAGTGTCCAGAGCACCAAAGAATATTTTAAAACTGGAAAAGAATAGCCAGTCATTTGTTTACCAGTGATTTCTAGGATATTTCTAATATGTATAAAACCTAATGTCACAACAACCTTTTTTCTAATGACCCAATATCAAAATTATTTTCTCCTCCCATGTCTTTGAGCTTATCTGATGCGAAGAGGCAATTTTAAAAAGCACCTGCGTCTAGTAATTTTGGCTCTCCCTCTTCTCTGCGTTTCTTCAGAAGGCACAGTTTAAGTGGAACTGTCTCCTGGAGTCCTCGGGCTCTGGCTCTTGGAGATAATTTAGGTAAAGTCCCAGAGAAGAGCTGAAAGGAGGACTGGACTAATGCAGAATCCACAACGAGGTAGGGAAGTTACAGTGCTTTCCAGAACCAGGAGGTGCACAGTTTCCTTGGGGGTATTCAAAACACAGACCCCTGGGGCCCAGGAACACTCTTCCCAGATCAGGGGAGGTGAGGCTAGAAGTAATATTTGGAGCTAATCCCAGAGCTTGGTCCTTCCTAGAGCACAATTGCTAGATGGGGGATGTATCTCCTCTTTGGGAGCCAAATACTAAGAGTAAAAGCAAATATTTGATGCTGAAGAGCTCTTAAGAACTGAAGAGTGCCATTTGCTTATTTCTACACGTCAGTGTGGGCTTAGGATGTTAAATAGATTAAAAGGCTAAGAAAGGTCAGTCAGGAAAGACGCTTCTTTTGCTTCTCTTGACTTGGTTCTCTTGGCAAAACTGTTATCTACCTACCCCTCCCCAGTCTTGTGGAGGCTCCTTGGGAAACTCATAAGACGTCACATCCTCCTCTAGAACATCCTAGAAAGTGTGGGGCCAGGATCCTAGGGATCAGAGGTCTAGAAGGGTAAGAAGACCAAAGTCTGCTGGTTGATGCGATGAAGACAGTTTTAGAAAAATTCAAGAGATATGTAACTATAAAACTGGTAGAGTCCTTAGAAATTACTAAATCTATTCTCTTCTGTTTCGGATGAAAAAAAAGCCTCAGAGTGGTGAGGTGATTAAAGCTCGCTAGGAATGCCAATTGGCTTCCAGGTCAGAGCTTCTTCTACCTGACACAGCCTCCAAGTTCAGACTCGAATTTGGGAGTCTGTCCTAATACTGGCCTAGGATAGTCTTTCTCGGTACCTTCCTCCACCTCTCCCAGGAGAGGGGCTGACAGAGGTTGCTAGGCATCGTGCGCCAGCCAGAAAGAAGGCCACGCGGCCCTGAGTCAGTCTATGACCTGCCCAACCTCTAGGGTGCGGAGCTTAGGTGCTGGGCACTGTGCGCGCAGGGTTTCCGGCTTCTGCCGCTCTCCACCCCGGCTCCCTCTTCCGCCCTAGCTCGGACGGGACAGCCAAGCCATTTCAATTTAATCTTCTTTAAAAAGACATAACTAATAAATCTATTGCCGAGACTTCGGAGAGACGGCCAGCAGAGTGGATCGTGCTCCCAATCCCATTGAACCCCATTGAAAACCATGACAACACAGGACAAGCTCCGATTTATCCCGGCGCGCTAAAGCGCATTGTGAGCAGGCGTCAATCACGCATTATTTCGGACTGAACAAATGCAAAATCTTGACTGGAACAAATGCTTCCAACAGGTCCGGGGCGTCGAGCTCCATTTCCCCTTTGTCCGCGGCCTAGCAGTTGGCCTGTATTGGGGTTGCCTCCGCCCGACCACCCAGGGCGCCGCACTGTCCCGGCGCCTCGGGCACGCTTGACAGGGAAGCTGCTGGGGAGGGTGCGCCGGGCCGGGTGGGGCGGCCGCAACTGCAAGGGAATCGGGTCCGAGTTCAGATCAGGTGAATACAGGCGTTCACGTGAGGCCACCTGAGTGCCGCCGGCTCGCACCGAAATTTAACCCACTACCCTATCCACTGGCTGCAGAAGGAGAGGCTTCTGAGAGCGCGCTCGCTCGGCCCTTGCCTGAAGCGCGGCTACCGTGGAACCATGAGCCAAGAAAATGTGTCCGGCTCCTTGCACCTTCTACACGACCATTTCCTCAGATAGGGAACGAGAAGATATCGGGAAACCCCGAGCAGGCTCTCTTTTCAGCCCGGCGGGCGCACTCCTAACTCCCGCAATCGGTCCCTTACCAGACCAGGCTCAGCAGCTTTGGTGGAGCGGAGAGCCGGAGGCACCCAAGGCCTGCTTTGGGGCAGAGGACGCACCTCCAGTCCCCGGCCTGACGTTGAGGCTACGGAGGCCAGGCGGTGCTCAGACGCCAAGGAGGCAGCAACGCCCTCCTAGAGCGCCCTTGGAAACGCCACCGCCCGTGAGGCCTAGAGTGGGCCTGGGCCAGCCACCGGGCAGAGTGGGAAAACGAGCCTGATACCTCGTAGGAAAATAGTTTGGCTTGATTCCGCCTCCATTTTGCTGGCCTGGGGCTCCCCGGATGCTCCCAGCCCTTCCCGATCACCGCTGAAGTTGCGGGCGCTTGGGGTGTAGGAGATTCCTAGCGGTCTTCGAAACCCTCTGCACAGACGCTGGCGAGGCCAGGCCTCTCCTCTGCGCCCGCCTGCAACTTCTCGCCTCAATCCTTACAGGAGCCCAGCCAAAAAGAGAAAGAGAGCGCGCCAGTGTTCAACGCCGCCTTGTAAATCACTTTCCGGATAATTGCGGGAAACGAACACTCCAGCAAACAAGCTCGAGGAATAAAGCTAACAAGGAATAAATTCCTGGGTGCTCATAAACCCACCCAAGTCGCCCCCACCCTTCCCGGCGCTCCTGCGGGGCCAGGCTCGATGTCAGCCCTGGTGGAGGAGGAGGAAGCCGGGACCGGAGGGCGGTGGCCACCGCTCGCCACCCAAGATGTTATTCTTTGGCAACAATCCCCATTATCTGTCCCCACTTGGTACTAATCAGACAGAATCGCTAATGCGGAGGGCAGCTTCCTGCCGCCTCTGGGAGGTAACGGGGCGCCCGAGGGGCGGAGAACGGGGCGGGGCGGGGGGCGGAGGTGGCACCTTCCGGGCTCGCCGGGGCTTTGGTGCAGCACTCATTCAGGTACTTAACACCCGGGAGACCCGGACCTCGGCTTTCAGAGCGTCCCGGGTGGGAAGAGCTGTTTATATAAACTGGGATTCCACGGTAAACGCGCTAATATCTCGGTAGCCAGCGCATGGCGTGCGCCTCTCACGCCCACCCATAGGAGCGGCGTCCCGCGCCACCCCTCGATTCCAAGTCTGCCCTGCCCCGCCTCCTTCCCCTGCTCGGCCATGGCCACCTCTGGACGCCTCAGCTTCACCGTGCGCAGGCTCCTGGATTTACCGGAGCAGGATGCGCAGCACCTGCGGAGGAGGGAGCCGGAGCTACGCGCCCCGGCTCCCGGCCCCTGCGCCACCTGGCTGGAATCCGAGCGCGGCCACTACCCTTGTGAGTGAGCAGAAGACAGCGGCGGGGGGAGTGAACGGGCTCAGTGCGGGGATGGGAAGCGGAAACCCCAGCCCAAGGTCTGGATTTCCTCAGTGTTGGACCCACAGACTCTGTCCTCCTGAAACCCCTATGCCAGTTGGCATATCTTGAGAGCAGATCCCTGCGCCTGGCGCTAACGCCCGGGATTTGGGTTTCCGTTTCTAGGGGTCAGAATATTTAAATATTTAAGACGCCGTCCTTAAATGCCTGAAAAAGTGGCCACGTTCTTCTGGCCTGGGTTTGGGATGAGCAGTACTGGCGAGCCTGGATTCAGGGCTTTGCAAACGTCGGCAAACCGTAGTGCAGTCGACCTCAAAGTGACCCGTCTTGGTGAGGCAACTTGCAGTGAATTCGTCTGCCAGCGCAGCGGCCAGGACGGATTGGTTTTAATAGACCCCCGGGGTGGGTTTCTTTGGAGGTGCAGTCCCAGGCTGTGGTCTAAAAGGTCGTCGAATTCAGAGGTGGGTGTCCAGATAATGGGCTCGGGGAAGGAAACGGCCTCATCCCGAAAGCCGCGGGCGAGTAGGGGCGCCCTCCCGCTCGTGGGTCGGCGCCCGCGCTCCAGCGGCGGCCGGCGTCTTACAGGGCCGTGTTTCCTTTGCGTCCCTAGCCTCGGACGAGAGCAGCCCAGAGGCCAGCCCGAGGGACTCGTCGCAGCGGCCGTCCGCTCGGCCTGCGTCTCCGGGCTCGGATGCCGAGAAGAGGAAGAAGCGGCGGGTGCTGTTCTCCAAGGCGCAGACGCTGGAGTTGGAGCGGCGCTTCCGGCAGCAGCGCTACCTGTCGGCGCCCGAGCGCGAGCAGCTGGCGCGCCTGCTGCGCCTCACGCCCACACAGGTCAAAATCTGGTTCCAGAACCACCGCTACAAGCTGAAGCGCGCGCGGGCCGACGGCCGCCGCCCGGGACAAGAGCGCGGCGCCGCCGGCCGCCGCCTGCCCTGTGCCAGGCTACGCCGCCTTCGGGCCTGGCTCGGCTTTCGGCCTCTTCCCCGCCTACCAGCACTTAGCGCCCCCCGCCCTGGTCTCCTGGAACTGGTGAGGCAGCCGAGGGGCGCAGGCCCCTGGGGCTACGCCGGACTTGGAGTGAGCTCTGCAGCCCCAGCCGGAGACCTGGAGCGCGTCCCGCCGCCCCACCTCCTTCGGCGCGGGGGTCGTCTCCGGCGCCCCCACCGGCCGGCAACTTCCGCCAAGGCACGCCGTCTCCTCTTCCCTGGACCGCCAGACCCAGAGCTAGATTTTATTGCTTGAACCTTATTTGTACATTTAAAAATAGCTATTTGTATGGGAAGCAACTTATTTTAAAAGAAATAGAATATTTTTTCTCTTTGTGGTGAGAATAAAATGTGTAGGGTTGGGTCCCCTTTTTGCGTGTCTGCCGGGAAACGAAGGTGGGAGCAGTGCCTTCCCGATCCGGAGTTTGGGTCGCTGGGCCACTCTTCACCCGCCACGTTAAGGCCCACCCACCCCGAGCTGGGTAGAAGGGCAGAGCACAGTCCCCACGCGCCTTTAGGAAGAAGCAAGGGGAAGGGAGAGAAGAGGGGGGAGCAGAGGCACTTCTGGGGGTCCTGTAAGTGTGGGGTGGTGGCTCTGCTCCCAAAGTGAGACGGAGGCCCCTGAGCCGCTGGAGCTTCTAACTCCGAAAGTCAACCGAGTCGGCCACGAAGGGCATAAAGAGAAGGCATAATGAGCTTCTCCGTGAGGGCTCGGGGAATGCCAGCGGGACCCGGGCTGAGCGCGCTGCTGGTGGTTCGTTTCGGAGACCCGAGGGCCACGCGGGGAACCCCGTTATGCCTTGCGAGCGCCTCGCTAGGCAGCTGTGATTTTCCGCCTCTTGGCGTGACACCTGGCCAGGGAGGGACCGGGAGCGGGTGGTGTGGTGGGGAATGAAACACGGGTGGGACCCGTTGGTTCATCCCGTGTCACCCACGGCCCCAGTGTACCGCCCGGGCCGGGATCTAGGGTTCTACCCCGCCGGGTTTGTAACTGTTCTTCTTGGGCATCCCTCGGTATCCGTAGTCGCAGGGCCTCCCATGCAGTGCAGTGTTCACTCTCGGAGATGTGAGGACCTTTCTCTCTGGCGCCCAGTGAAGGGAGGTTGAGTTTAAAGAGCACTTTGGGCGCATCAGATCCAGGGGCAGGAGCAAGGGCTCGATGAGGCCTGTGAGAAGTAGGCATTGGCCCTCTTTTGGGTTTTAGCTTTCTTGTCCCAGGAGGAAAAGGAGGCGGAGGTAGCGGGAGGGTGGGTAGCTGAGGTCCTGTTATCACCTGGGATTTTGGGGGTGGGGAGAGACAGGAGGGCAGAGGGGAAGGGAGAGGGGTGTTTGGGTCTCAGCTGCTGGCCACCTTGCCTTCCATATGGATGCAGTTATCTTAGAAGAATCTCTATCCTTAAACCTCCTTTTGTGTTGGGAACTGAAAAGAGCATTGTCAGGCCTGAAAAGGACCTAGACAAAATCCGCACTGTTTCGATTCAGGACTCTGTTTAATCAGTCCCTGGTGACAATGTACTGGGTGTTAGGGAGGACAATAGTATCTTTTTAAACCTTGTGGCCTTCGGGAAGACAAAGGGCTTGAATTTCATGGGCTTACAACTTCAATTAGAACAGTGTCAGTGTGCATGGGAGATTATCAAATTTGTATCATAAAACCTCTCTCTAATAAATGATTGCTGGGGTGGGAGCTGGATGTTGTAAGACATATATTGGAAACTGCCCTCAGGGCTTCCCAGTCAGCCCTGGCAGAGCGGATGGGAAGGAAGAGGGAAGGATTTCTGAAGAAGGCCCCGCTCAGAACTTGTCCCTGCAGTCAGCTGTTGGGAGCCTGGCTCTTCCATGCTCTTCTGAAAGGTTGTTTCTCCAATAATGGAAGTAAAGACTCGTAGCTCGTTTTCTGTTCTTGGTGGTGATGAAGACCTGAACGTTCGTGAAAGTGCAAAATCACCACCTGTTTAGTTTCCTGCCTTTTCTTTCCTGGAGCTCCAGAAAAAGTAGGACTTGGGGTAAGCAAAGCAGAGAGTATTAGCTATGAAGCCCATAGGACTAAAGGCTCTGACTGTGGAAAGACTCACTTCCCAGGAAGATCTTTGGGAGAGCATCTTCAACCAGATTCACCTGGAGATGAATTCACCCAGGTGGAGGACCCAGAGAGGTGGTCACAGCCATAGGAGGCCAGCCCGTGTCCTGTGGAGGAGCAGACATTTTTTTCGGCTCTAGCATCAGGATCTCTCGTGTCTACAGTTCAGTTCAGTCACTCAGTCGTGTCTGACTCTTTGCGACCCCATGAATCGCAGCACGCCAGGCCTCCCTGTCCATCACCAACTCCCAGAGTTTACTCAAACCCATGTCCATCAAGTTGGTGATGCCATCCAACCATCTCATCCTCTGTCGTCCCCTTCTCCTCCTGCCCCCAATCCTACCCAGCATCAGTTACCCACTTCTTTTTGCTCCTTTTCCTTTAGGTCCCTTCCTTTGTAGAGGAAAAGCCATAGGGGAGAGTTATTAATGTATTCCCATCACCACCCACCCATTTTAGAAATTCAGGCTGTCATTTTTCTTCTGTTCACACCTGCAATCAGCTGGAACTGATGAATGTCAATTTCCTTTCTGACCTAAAAGATCAATTCCCCTAGGCTCTGACAAGAGAAACTAAACCCAAGGCCTTTCCCAGCAGCTGTGAGAACTGTTGGGATCTCTCTCCCCAGATGAAAATGTTTCATACCTGTCACCCATCACCAATATTGCAAGGCAGAGTCACACTCAGCAAACTTTTATTGAAACTTGCTCTGTTCTAGGCATTGTTCCAGGCACTTTCACAGCTGATCTCACAGAAACCACTGCATATCTAATATACCCATTTTGCAGATAAGAAACTGAGGCTTAATGTGTAGGAGTAAGCAGTCATAAACCTCACAGAATATTGCCATTGTCCTTAGCTTAGCCCTTACTTAAGCTATGATGTAAACTGTCCTTAAAGTGGACAGTTGAAATCTTTATGTGATGACAACATATATGCTACCCAGCCACCATAAAATTGTCTTATGGATGACCTGGAAGGATGGAAGAGCATGCCAAAAGTACCATACATGGCTTAAGGCCACTTAGAGAAGTTGACCATGGCCTATCACAGTAGCTGCTAACATTTACTGATGTTCCTGTGTATGAGGCAATATTCTAAATTTTTAAGTCAGATTAACTCATGTAATCTTCATAACAACCCTGTAAGATGCTACTGCTCTTCCTACCTTACAGGTGGTAAGGAAACTGAAGGCCAGAGAGGTTATCAGTAACTTGTCCAGATCACACAGCTAGTAAGTGACAGAGAAGATCTGAACCCAAGCAGTCTAACGTTAGATCTCAAACCTTTAACTACATGGTGGCAGTTATTTCCCATTCTTTGTTTATGTTTTATTCCTCCCAGTCAACAATCTTGGTTACCTAATAGACACTTCTGTAAGAGACATGTTTTTAGCATCTCTGTGTCTCTTGGTGTCCCCCCCCCCCCCCCAAAGCTCGAGGTTTTGGACACAGCCTCTGTGTTTGCCCTGTGTCTGTTTGTGTGCGTTCTTGCCCAGCTGTCAATGAAACACAGCTCTTGTCTGCAGGTCACAATATTTTCCTGTGACTATCGTCCCACCATTCTTCTTCCAGAAAAACATCTGCTGCCGCTGCCTTGACACCAATTGTCCACTCAGCGTTTGGTTGCTGCTGACTCTGATAAGCTCCTCTAAGCTTCCCCAACCCCCAGGCCCAGATCCCTGGGGAACTTTATGACTTTGGCTTCCCTAGCCCTTTCCCCTGTCATCTTTTTCCTTCCTAGGTCTCCAGTGTTATCTTTATTATTAAATGTCATCCTCCTCACATTTACTCTCCTGCCGTGGTAAACATTTTCACTTTATCTCACTTAAGTCCCTTTTGGGTGGAGATTGCAATTTTCACTTCAGTTTTCTCTCCCATTGTTTAGAGGATCTCACATTTTAACATGTCTGTTACCTGACCAATTTAGCACTTTAGAATCTTAGATAACATGTTACTGATGGCTTAGTAGGAAGTTATTTGAGCTCAGGTTAATGTATACCTTCCTTTCTAACAGTGATGTTTAGTTGTTTATTATTCTCTTGCATTCACACAATTAATTGTTGCCTCTTCAACCCACACACACTTCACTACCGTTAAAACGTTTAGACTTAGGGATAAAATGCCCAGGCAGGATAACTATGGACACTGCATGATTAATTATTTGTTAACCATGTTTATCTGTTCTAGGTATTTCAGTTAACCAGTCTAGGCAGGTTATCTGTAAAATGAATAACAGTCAAGAAAGCTTTTGGAATGCTAAGAAAGTACCGTCTCTACCCCAGGGCATGATCATTTCTATAGATATGATTGCATTACTTGATATTCAAAATTTGCATGAGAAATTGTATCCTTTCAGGTCACTCATCATCTCTCCAAGCCATGATGTGGGAGTGGATTTGCTAAATGGTACCTTAATTACTTTCAGAAGTCCAATTCTGCACCTGTTAACACCCCTCCAATACCCTTGCCCAGACTAATAGCCAAAGGTATGTGACATTCCCTTTTCTCCTGTGTTCCCACCATTCATGTCACTCAGTTTATAAATTCACCAAAAATATGAACAGTATTCCCGTCAGTGCTGATCCATAGAGCAGTATTTTTTTTTTTTTAACCAGGAAGGATCAGTTAGGCTGTTAAAACAGTCTCACGTCCTCCCCAGATTTTTAAGTATGGGGGGGTTCTCCTTTTTCTCAACTATGCCCTGCGGAGGGTTCTTGTTGTTTATCCAGAAAAGTAACATCAGATTTTAGAAGCAGAAGATCATACTCTCTTTAATACCCTGCGCTGTGGACCAATAAAAATCTCTAGCTCTTTATCGAGGTCCTGTAGTTGCAAAAGCTGCCCTAGTTTCAGTATAGTTGCTATGAGGAGGGTGTTATGGAAAGAGCATCTGAGGGAACCTTGGTCAGGCTTAATCTCCTCCTGCGTTCTGACTGGGTGGTCCTTTATGAGTCAACGGTTTTTC